AGCCTGGAGCCTTTGGGTAACACCAAGGTGTAGCCTCGGCCAGGTGCCCTCAATTACCCCCAAGTTTCTTCCAACTCCATGTGACAGCTAGACCTCCATGAAGAGAAACTGGATCAGAACAGGGCCAACATTCCCAACACCTGAGAGGGATGGGGAATGAACAAAGTCCTCTCCAGCAAGCGCGTATTGTAGACAGGCAACCGCGCGATTCGCTTTTAATTGGCTGGCAGAGTCCCAGTAATTTGTTCTTTAGAGTGAGTAAAAAACCTTGAAGATGAGGATGCTTGGAAATGAAAGTAAAGTGATAGGTTCACTTTAACACACCCTTCTGTCGAGCCCCACAGTTGGGTGCCAAAACTGATGTGGATTTTTCAGATCAGACTGGGCTTCGAGAGTGTCAGCAAAATGGGTCGGCTAGCCAAGCCTCAGAGAGGGTCATCTTGAGGGGCTGGCAAGCCTAGCCCTGGAAGTGTTGGCTCTAATGGGCTGGCAAGCCAAGCCCTGAGAGTGTTGCTGGTTTGGTGGGCTGGCAATCCTAGCCCCCGGAGTGTTGGCTCTGATGGGCTGGCATGGCATGCCAGGCCTTGAAAGCGTTGCCAGTTCGGTAGGCTGGCAAGCCTAGCCCTCTGGGTGTCTCAGCTTCGGAGTCTTGCCTTATTCTGGCAGCTCTCCTGGTTCAACTGACTCTGTCGGCTGGCAAGCCAGCCTCTGGGGGCACAGCTCTTCGGCTCTGGTGATCTTCTGCAGCTCTTCAACTCGGGGTTCTTGTCTCGTGCCCAGGAAGAATGAGGGACACAGACACCTGGAAAGTGAGAAAGCAGGATTTACTGAGAGGACAGAGAAGTTCCTACAGTGGAAGGAGACCTGAAGGGGTTGCCCCGGCACACAAATTTAAAAAAAAAAATCATTTCTTATGGAACTTATGAAGACTTTTTTTCACTATAGTTTACCTTTAAATTATTGCAAATGAGAAACTTATTCCAAACTGTCTCATTCTTTGTTTATAACTTCTTTTATAACCTCAAGACTTTTTAGAACTTTTGTGACATTCTCAGTTTTCACAAGAATGTAGAAGTGTGTATCTTTTCACTTTTTTTTTTAGTTGGAATCTCACTCTGTTGACCAGGCTGGAATGCTGTGGCATGCTCATGGCACCCCAGCGTTGACCTGCTGTGCTCCAGTGAGCCTTCTGCCTCAGCCTTCCAAGTAGCTGGAACTACAGTTGTGCACTAGCACGCCCGGCTAATTGTTTTTAAAATTTGTTATAGGGACAAGGTCTTGCCACGTTGCCCAGGCTGGTTTCGAACCCACGGACTCAGGCAATCCATTCGCCTCAGCTTCCCAAAGTGGTGGGATTACAGGCTGAGTCACTGAGCCTGGCCTTTATTATTTTTTTTTAATATTAACTTATTTGTCTTAAAAAAGTGACAAATTGTGATTGTATGTGATTATAGAATACAATTTGATTTTTTGATACATATCTTGATATACAATGATCCAGAGAGGGTATTTATGTATCTATCATCTCATGAATTTATCATTTCTTTGTGGTGAGAACATTGGAAAACTTTTTCTAGCTCTTTCATCATATACAGTATTTTACAATTAACTATTTTCATTTTACTGTGCAATAGAACACCAGAATTTATTCCTCTTATTATATCCTTGTACTTGTTGACCAACCTTTCTCCATCCTTGGTTCCCCATCTCTGGTGTCCACACTCTGTTTCTATGATATTAACTTAATTTTTTTAGATTCTACGTATGGTTGAGACCATGCTGTATTTTTCTGTCTAGCTTATCTCACTTAACATAATGTCTTCCAGTTATATTCATGTTTTCTCAAACGACAGAATTTCATTCTTTTTAATGGCTGAATAGTATTTCCTTGTGTATATACACCATATTTTCTTTATCGCTTCATTCAGTGTTTTTTTTTGTTTGTTTGTTTTTTTGAGTTGGAGTCTCACTCTGTCACCCAGACTGGAGTGCAGTGGCCGCTCCCGGCCACTGCAGCCTCGACCTGCTGGGCTCCGGCGATTCTTCCGCCTCAGCCTTCCGAGTAGCCGGAATTACAGGTGCGCGCTACCACGCCCGGCTAATTTTTTTGATTTATTGTAGAGATCAGGTCTCGCCTACCCAGGTGGGTCTCGAACCCGTGGTCTCAGGCAATCCACTCACCTCAGCCTCCCAAAGGCGCGGGATTACAGGCTGAGCCACAGAGCCCGGCCTTCATTCAGTGTTAAACACTTAGATTGATTTTATAGCTTGGCTATTGTGAATAGTGCTGCGATTGATATGGGAGTGCTGAATCTCTTGGGACACACTCATTTCGTTTCCCTGGGATAAATATACCCAGTCATGGAATTGCTGGATTATATCTAAAAAACTTTTAAAAGTTTTTTAGGAAACTTCATACTGTTTACCATAATGGCTGTTTTAGTATACAATTCCAGCAACATTGTGTAAGTATTTTCTTTTCTTCACATCCTTACCAATGCTTGTTTTTGTCTTTTTTTATAAACGTAAGTGGTATCTCCTTGTGGTTTTGCTTTGCATTTCCCTGATGATTAGTGGTGTTGAGTATTTTTTTCACATATTTTTAAAAATAAGTGTCTATTCAGGAAATTTGTCTATTGTGAATCAGGTTATTTAATTTTTTTGCTTAAGGTGTTAAGTTCCTTATATATTCTGGATATCAATTTCTTGTTAGATGTATAGTTTGCAAATATCTTCTCCCATTCTACAGGTTCTCTTTTCACTTTGTTGGTAGCTTATTTTACTGTGCAAAAGTAGTTTTAGGTAACCTCACTAGTTTATTTTTGTTTTTGCTGCCTGTGCTTTTGAGGTCTTATTTTGAAAACCTTGACCAGCCCTATGTTATGAAGTGTTTCTCCTGTGTTTTCTTCTAATAGTTTTAGAATTTTGGTTTTTACATGTAAGTATTTAATTCACTTTGAGTTACTTTTTGTATATTGTGCAAGGTAGGGGTCTAGTCTCATTTTTTGGGATGTGCATATTCAATTTCTCAGCACCATTTATTGAAGAGACTGTTTTTCCTAATGCATGTTCTTGACATCTTTGTTGAAAATTGGCTGGCTGTAGGTTTGTGAATTTATTTCTGGCCTCTTTGTTCAGTTCCATTGGTCTCTGTATATGTTTTTGTGCTGGTATCATGCTGTCTGGGGTACTATAACTTCATTTTATTTTTTGAAATAAGGTAGTTTGATGCCTCTAACTTTGTTCATCCTGCATAAGACTATTTTTACTAGTTAGGGTCTTTTCTGGTTATATATAAATTTTAGGATTATATTATTATATTCCCTCTTTCTGTGCATAATGTTATCGGTCTTTTGAGAAAAATTATATTAAATTTGTGTATCACTTTGTAGAGTATGATCATTTAACATTATTAATTCTTCCAATCCATGAATATGGATCTCTTTCCATTTATTTGTAGCCTTTGCAATTTTTTCATCAGTGTTGCATCGTTTTCAGTGTTGAGATCTCTCCCCTTCTTGGTTAAGTTGATTGCTATCAATATCTTTTTTTGGGGGGTAGCTATTGTAAATGGAATTGTTTTCTTGTTTTTTTAAAATGTGGTTCATTAATAGTGTGTAGAAATACTACTGATTTTTGTGTATTAATTTTGTATCTCTTTACTGTTAGTTATAACAGTTTTTATAGCAAAGTCTTCAGGATTTTCTGCATATAAGATTGTGGTCATCTTCAAACAGGGACAATTGGACTTTCTTTCCCATTTGAATACCTTTTATTTCCTTCTTTTGCTTGATTTTTCTAGCTAGAACTTCCATACTATGTTGAATAGAGTGGTGAAAGTGATCTTCTGTGTTTTGTTCCTGAACTTAGATGAAAATCCTTTAGCTTTTTTCCATTCAGAATGACGTTAGCTGTGTGTTTGTCTGTATGTCCTTCATTGCATTGTGGCACATACCTTATGAAAACATGGAGAGCTTTTACCATGTAAATATATAGAATTCTGTCAAATGCTTTTTCCACATATGTTGAAATGATTATATTATTTTTGTCTTTTTAAAATGTGTTGTATCATTTTTTATTGCTGTGCCTATGTTAAATCATTCTTACATCCCTGGGATGAATCAAATTAGATCATAATGAATGATATTTTCAGTGTGCTGTAGGAGTTGGTTTGCTAATATTTTGTTAAGAATTTTTGTTTATGTCTTATTAGGGATATTGGCCTATAGTTTTGTTGCTGTTGTTGTTGTTGCTGTGCTCTTGTCTGGTTTTGGAATCAGGATAATGATGGTCTTGAAAAATAAGTGTGAAAATATTCCCTCCTCTTCAATTTTCTGTAATAGTTTGAAGAGAATGGCTATTAGCTCTTCTTTAAATGTTTTGTATAATTCAGTAGTTAAGCCATCAGGGTCTGTGTATATTTTCTGTTTCATCATGATTTAATATTGGTAGGTTGTATGTGTTCGTGAATTTATCCATTTCTTCTATGTTATCAAATTTATTGGCATATAGTTTTTCCTAATAGCGTCTTTTGATCCTTTTGTATTTCTTTGGCATTAGTTGCAACGTCTCCTTTTTAATCTGATCTTATTCACTTGAGTCTTTTCACTTTTTTCTTAGTTATTCTAGCTAAAGTTTTATTGATTTTATCTTTTCAAACAACTCTTCTTTTTAAAACCTTTTGAACTTTTTTTAGTCTCTATTTTATTTACTTCTGCTCTGAGCCTTTATTTCCTTACTTTTACTAAGTTGGTTTTAGTTTGTTTTTATAGAACTGAGAGTTACGTTTGATTTGAAATTTCCAGAGAGAACGTGGGAATTAACAGATACTAATGTGACATTTTGTTTTCATTTCTACCAGCAGGTCAAGGTGTACCAAAGATCAAGAATATTTATCCAAAGTTCAAAGGCTTATTTTATGTTTGGTGATAAGCTTGCAGTTTGTGTTTATAAAATCTTTGGATTCTAAGCTTTCAATTGCACTTACACAAGGCACACCAATGGATCTCTTCATTATCCTGGTGATTTGTCTTTCTTGTTTGATTCTTTTTTCTCTGTGGAAAGGAAGCCATGCCAGAAGGAAACTCCCACCTGGTCCCACTCCTTTTCCAATCGTTGGAAATATTATGCAGTTAAACACCAAGGACATCAGCAAATCCCTAAGCATGGTAAGTATAATTAATTTTACTTCAGTTGCTTGCAATGAATAAATAAGTTAGCTCTATGGCTAAATAAAATATAGACCCACTAAGTTTTAAAGAAATAATTGTAAATGTCCATTGGACACCCAGATATGATTTTAGAATGTATACAGGTAGAAGGCAATGAGATCTGTTAATCTTTTTTTTTTTTTTTTTTTTGAGTTGGAGTCTCACTCTGTCACCCAGACTGGAGTGCACTCCACCTGCTGGGCTCCGGCGATCCTTCCGCCTCAGCCTTTTGAGTAGCCGGAATTACAGGCAGGTGCTACCACGCCCGGCTGATTTTTTGATTTATTGTAGAGATGAGGTCTCGCTGCCCAGGCGGGTCTCGAACCCGCGGGCTCAGGCAATCCACTCACCTCAGCCTCCCAAAGGTGAGGGATTACAGGCTTAGCCACCGAGCCCGGCGAGATCTGTTAATCTTAACAAGAGAAGGGATTCATGAGTCAGAGGCAAATCAGGAATGAATATTGCAACCTGGGTAGCAGTCAGAGACTATACCACTCAAGAGGGATAAGGAGGCTTATGTATATAGAAATTTATTTGGATAATAAATTATTTTTCATACTACTTCATTGATGGATAATTTGTTTAATCTATCATCAGTCATTAGTAGAAATGTTCGTTTGCATCAATGAGTCAGGCAAAAACTATAGCAAAATGTTTGTAAAAAGTAGGACCAGTTTCCTTGCATATTGTTGAAAGTCCAGTTGTTTGTAAATTAAATGTTTTTTTACATTTCCTTTGAGAGTCTCAAAGTTCATCAGCAGTTCAACAGGAAGTCAGCAGCCCAAGATAGTCAGTCATACCAAGCCTGGAACGTTGTTAAACTCATAGATTCATTATAGGATTGCTGAAATCACCAAAAGTAGAGATTCTCTTTCCATATTGTGATCTAAGTACCCTATAAAATAATTATTGTCTGATAAATGCTTATGAAAACAGAATTTTTTTCTGTTAAAAAGTGATTGATTTACAAGTGCCAAAGTTTGCTAAAGCACATAATAATTTTAAGTAAAGAAATAACTAAGAGTTCAGAATCGTTCACAGTTCCTATTATATTTGCTCAATAAATGAGTAAATAACTTCTTTACTTCAAGTTATTTACATAGCAGTAGGCCTTTGAATCTTGAGGAAATTAAGTCAAATTTATCTTTTCTTTGAGACTATAAGTTACCAGGGTACTGCCCCTGGAATTTCTTTCTTCCTATGATTTGGCTCTGGCTTCAAAGAGATTGTGTCAGCACCCCAGCTAATTTTCTAATTCACAGCTTTGAGTAAGTTTTTAAATCTTTTTTAGATTTACTTTCTGTATCTTCAGTATATAAGTAACAACTATTTGCACAGTTTACTTGAGTGTATCATATATTGGACAAGTAATAAGTCCTAACTTTATGAGGCACTATGTCAGGTAGGTACATGCAAGGGATTTTTTTTTTTCTGAGTTGGCCCCCAGACTGGAGTGCAGTGGCCGCCCCCAGACTGGAGTGCACAGCCTTGACCTGCTGGGCTCCGGCGATCCTTCCGCCTCAGCCTTCCAAGTCGCTGGAACTATAGGCACGCACTACCACACCCGGCTAATTTTTGATTTATTGTAGAGATGAGGTCTCGCCAAGTTGCTCAAGCGGGTCTTGAACCCGCGGGCTCAGGCAATCCACTCACCTCGGCCTCCCAAAGCGCTGGGATTACAGACTGAGCCACCGAGCCCGGGTGAGGGATTTTCAATGATGAATTAAAATTTTAAAAGTCCCTATCATTATGGGATTTACAGTTTAGAAGATAAGCATATATTTATAAAACACTCATATAAGTACGTGTATGCTTATAATCTATATAACAGGGAAATGGTGGAAAGAGATAACATAGTTTGAGGGAAACAGGAGTCAGAGGAGCAATCAGAAAAGTGTTCTCTGAGAAACTGAAGTTGGAGCAGAGACTGAAGAATGATTAGGTTTTACCTGGATGAAATGCAGATAAACACCTATTTCATATGTTTTCAATCAGGTGTGTGTGTGGGGAGTGCATCTCTCCTCAAAACCCCAGAAAGAGGACCAGAGTGTTTGTACCCAGAAGTAGGTAAGAATATGGTACAAGATTGGACAGGCAGGCAAGGGTCAGGGCATGCTGGCTTTATGAGAATTTTAAGAACATTGGTCTTTATCATAAGAGCAATGTGATGCCATTAACATACTTAAAGGACTGTCATGTTGACATTTGCCTTGTGAAAATGTCATCCTGGTTGCTTTACAGAGAATGAATTGTAGAGCAGCAAAAGAAGTCCAACATTAGACAAGTTAAAGAGTGCAAAGTCCTATATCATTTAGGATACCAAATAAGCCTTCACAACAGAAAGAGTCCAACAGTACAATAGCTAAAAAAAGACAGGTATTTATTCATATCTTATATACTAATCTAGAGGTAAGTGCTGATGGCTGTCTCTCCTCCATGAGATCATTCAGGGAACCAGTTTTTCTCAATCTTTGAAGTTCTCCTATTTTGGGCCCCTGGGCTTTTGTTTTCCTTTTCATGGTCACAGTGGGAGCATCTCCCTTATATCATTTCAACTCATAGGTAAGAGGAGAAATGAAAGGCAAGTAATTATCTTTTATTTCATGTAGAATTTGCACACATCACGGCTACTATCAACAGTATGGAAACTTAGTCAGGTGGCTACACCTAGCCTCAAGTGAGGCTGGGAAATGTCTATGACCGGGCATAATCTCACGTATTATGAAAACCTAGAGCTGTCTGATGCTTAAAGGAATATATGGAGAATGGATATGAGGACTGATTATTAGTCCACACATAGGGCAAGTTAAGGGGCTTTCTTTAAGTAGGAGAAGAAACACATCACTTATTATAATTGCAGGAAGGAAGGAGAAATGTGGTGCAATTATGAGTTTGGAGAAAAGAGCTAATAAAATAATAAAAACAAAATTCCTAAAGTGGCTCATGCATCATGGTAGAAACTGAATAAAACATAATTATTGATAATGATAATAATACCAATATTGCTAATAATATGATAATTTCCATTTACATAATATATTTTCTTATTGAATAACTGGTTATAAAGTTGAAAACTTTTATAATAGATGAATGAATATTAAAATGTCAATTCAGTAAGATTGAACATATTTCTCTCATTCATCTATATTTCAGTTTTAAAATTCTTACTTTTCTTCCATCTTTTGTTCTTATTCCAGCTAGCAAATGATTATGGTCCTGTGTTCACTGTGTATTTTGGCATGAAGCCCACAGTGGTGTTGCATGGATATGAAGCAATCAAGGAAGCCCTGATTGACCAGGGAGAAGAATTTTCTGGCAGAGGGAGTTTACCAGTGGTTGAAAGATTTACCCAAGGATTAGGTATGTATCTTTGGGGAATGTGTGTGTTTATAAGCTGTAAAGACTCCTGAGTGATCTATCACAGAATCAAAGAACTGAGTATCACATGTTCTCACTCATAAGCAGACCTTGAGCAATTTTTGTAATGCTATAAAAAAAGGGTTGGCAGTAGCAGGAAACTGCCGGGGGTGGGGGTTGGCATACCTCATCAACAAGGGATTCTGCATAATGAACATTTGTATACCTAACCCTGAATTGTACCCCACATCTTTTTAAAAAAATTTTTAAAAAATTTATTTTAAAATTGTGGGGTACAGCTCAGGGTTATGTTTACAAATATTCATTGTGTTACCCTTGTTGATGAGGTGTGCCCTCCTTCCTCAGGCAGATATCGACTACATCTTTAAAATCAAAAAATTAAAAGTAAAAAAAAAAGTTGTAATGACTCCAAGTAGACCGAGAAATTGATAAAACATTTCAAAATCTTTATAAGACACATTTTCATCATTTTAACATAAGAATATTCATAATTTATTTATAAAGGATCATTACTCCTTATTTAAAATCTATGAAGGTGACACAAAGTCACCATGAAACATTACATTCAGTGAAATCAAAGCATCTAGCCACTAATGTTCTATGAATTTGTGACTAAGATACATTTATTTTAAATTATCGCCAGTTAGGATAATAAGAGGGCAACCCACTCGGGTCCCCTCCCACTGTAGGAGCTTTTCTGTCCTCTCAATAAAGCCTGCTTTCTAAAAAAGAAAAAAAGATAGTAAGAAAGAGACAGAGAAGACAGAGAGGGGGAAGGTGACTACGTTATTATTATTATCATTATTATTTTCTTTATTTTAATGACTAAATTATTTTATTCACCAAACGTATTGCTTCCTGGTATGAGTCACTGATGCCCAGAATCAAAATTAAGGACCTTGTATAGTACGCACAGAGCTGACATAGGTGTGGAATATTTCTAGCCTTGCCTTTAATCTTCTATCCTAAGAAAAAGTAAGAATATTTGAATCCAGTTGAATAAAAAGCACAAAGCAAAAATATGCTCTGAAAAGAGGATCATGAAAAGCTCTTTTTTATTAAGTACTTGAACAATCTTCCTTTTGTTTTTTCTGCTGCCTGTAAACTCTCCAGTTTTCTGGCGGATTCCTGGGTTCTCGCATAAAGAGAAAAGACCTGAATGGTGTCTGCCCCTTCTCTGCATTGTTCTCTAAGAGGCTTCCTGGATAAATTTCCTATGAACTTACCTTTCCCCCAATCTTACTTGACTCTGAAAATCCGATGTTGAACTTCCTTGGTGTTAAGACCACTTCCTGAGATTTAATGAGTAGATAGGAAATGTTAAAACGAGAAACGCTGTCAATGACTGTGTTTTTCACCTGAGTAATAGATTGTTACAAGATTCCCTCCATTGCAGAAGAGCTGTCCCACCTTCTCTGGAGAATTGTTTATTTCTTGTTGTTTCTCCACAATTTTCAGGAAAGTCATCTTTGTATATTTAACTTATGACTTGAAATCACCATTATTTATTGCTGTGGGATAATAGAGTAAACTTTTTTTTTTTGAGTTAGAGTCACTCTGTTGCTGAGACTGGAGTGCAGGGGCATGCTCACAGCCACTGCAGCTTCTACCTGCTGGGCTGAGTCAATCCTTCTGCCTTACCCTTCCAAGGAGCTGGAACTACAGGCACATGCCATCATGCCAGGCTAATTTTTTGATTTATTGTAGAGATGAGGTTTTGCCATGTTGCCCAGACTAGTCTCAAACTCCTGGACTCAGGTGATCTTCTTGCCTCTGCCTCCCAAAGTCTGGGATTGCAGGTGTGAGCCACTGTGCCCGGCCTGCAAACATTTAATTATCTTAACTTCTACATCCTTTTAGAAGTGGGAGAAAACACCAGGTTCAAGTGACATTCTGAAGTTTAGAGGAACTGATCTATGAAGAAAAGTTTAGTAATATGCAAAATCAAGAGAGTTGAGAGTAAATATAGGTTGGGTGAAAAGAGGAGGCAGGTGAGGCGGGGATCAGTGAGAATTGCTGAAGATACATCCACTATATCCACATCCCTGCTTAAGTGTCAGCATCATTTCCTGCGATGAGTTTTCTCAGCTGGAATTCATGACAATGGTGATATTATTACTCTGGCTCTTTTTGTCCTGATAGGAGTTGCTTTCAGCAATGGAGAAACCTGGAAGCAAACCCGGCGTTTCTCCCTCATGGTTTTGCGGAATATGGGGATGGGAAAGAAAACGATTGAAGACCGAATTCAAGAGGAAGCCTCGTGTCTGGTGGAAGCATTAAAGAAAACCAACGGTGCACATTTCTTTAGATAATTAACAGTAATCTTTTGGGTAGAATAAATGTTATTACAAGTAGACTCAAAAAAAGGTATGATGGCTCAAATACAATAGCAGTTTCCTTTTTGTTCATGTAACAGTATAAAGAGGTGAAGTGGTTGACCAGACTATTTTCAGGCCCCAGATTGACGGAGGCTGTGATATCTTCAGCATTTGGCTTCCAGTGTCACCCAGGTCTCATCTACTTGTTTGGTAGTGGAAGGAGAAGAAAACAAGGAAAAGAGCAAACACTGTTTAGACTAGGCATGGAAGTGGCACCCCAAACTTTTCTCATGTTCCATGGGCTATCACGCAGTAACAAGGTCACACTTAACTGCAGGAGAAACTGGAAAATGTGGTTCATTTGTGCCCAGGAGGAAGACGAGAAGATGGGTTTTGGTAATCAGTGAGTAGTCTTGGCTACATTAACTTGAAAAATTATGCAATTTTTCTAGTAACTTCTAGAGAAATAATGCAGGAGCCAATAGATTCTTCCAATAGGCAATTTGACTCCCATGGAGGAATGTGGGTGTGAAGAGAGGGAACCACAACTGCGCAGATCTCTGCAGCGTGTGGATGTGTGTATGTGCATGAATGATGTGGTGAGGGTGGAGGAGAACAGGATGGTCAGGAGACCAGGTAGGGAAGGGGTATGTTCAGGACTGTTTCATAAGCTCAATATTTAAATACTCTTAAAGAACTTATTAGCATAAAGATAGCATATTCTCTTTGGGAAATTGACATTGTATTATTTTAAAATTTCTTTCTGAGTTGGAGTCTCACTCTGTTGCCCAGGCTAGAGTGCAGAGGCATGCTCATGGCCACCGCAGCCTCCACCTGCTAGGCTCAGGTGACCCTTCTGCCTCAGCCTTCCAAGTAGCTGAAACTATAGGCACGCGCCACTATGTCTGGCTAATTTTTTTGATTTACTGTAGGGATGAGGTCTTGCCAAGTTGCCCAGGCTGGTCTTGAACCCCTGGGCTCAGGCAGTCCTCTCACCTCAGCTTCCCAAAGTGCTGGGATTATAGGCGTGAGCTACCGCGCCCAGCCACCGTTGTATTTTAAAACAATTTTATATTGTCCAGATAGTTCTTTTTCCATTTTATCTTTGCTGCTGTTGATATCAATCTGCAATTATTACATATATTTGCATGTGTTGGTTCTTTTTTAGAATACATTTTTGGAAATGGAGTTATAGTGTCAGTGAACATTGTTTGGGCATTTAATGCATATTACATAGAAATGGGGGGAAGATCTGATAGAATATGCGTAAGAAAATGAGGCATATGCTGTGTGTACTGTTTTGAAAACTTATTTTTTTCTTTTTCTTTTTTATTGAGTCGGAGTCTCACTCTGTCACCCAGGTTGGATTGCTGTGGCACACTCATGGCCACACCAGCGTCAACTTGCTAGGCACCGGCAATCTTTTGGCCTCAGCCTTCCAAGTAGCTGGAACTACAGGCGTGTGTTACCACACCTGGCTAATTTTTGACTTATTGTAGAGATGAGGTCTTGCTGAGTTGCCCCACTTGGTCTTGAGCCTGTGGGCTCAGGCAGTCCACTCACCTCGGCCTCCCAAAATGCTGGGATTACAGGCGAGCCACCGACCACAGCCAACGTAAACTTATTTTTTTAAAAATCATGTATTATATGATATTTCATGTGCTTAACTTTTAAATATTTTCCAATAACATTTTTAGCTGAATTGTGCAGTAGTCTATTATGCTGAATGTGCCATAGTTTCTCTAACTTATTTTAAAAAAAAATTTTAAGCAGATTGATTGTTTCTAGTCTTCGCTGCTGTTCATATAAAAAACTGCAATCTATATGAATTATTCCAGATTTCTGGCTACTTTCTTAGAAAAAAATTTTAAAAACAGAATTAGTAAAGCAAAGATTATTGATTTTTGATACAGATTATCTGGGAAGTGACTACACTTAATTTATATTTGGCAACAAACTTATTATTTATTATTTTTTTGAGTTTGTGTTTCACTCCTTTGCCCAGGCTGGACTGCAGTGGCATGCACGCCTCACGGTCACCCCAGCGTCGACCTTCTGGGTTCCAGCGATCCTTCTGCCTCAGCCTTCCGAGTAGCTGGAACTATAGGCACGCACCACCACGCCTGGCTATTTTTTATTTTATTGTAGAGACAAGGTCTTGCCAAGTTGCCTAGGCTGGTCTCGAACCCGTGGGCTCAGGCCAGCCACTCACCTCGGCCTCCCAAAGTGAACAAACTTATTTTTAGCTGGTTTAACCTTTCTCATGGTGATTGTGATCTTCTCTCAACTTCGTGACCTATGATCTACTAGACTTTGCTTGATTCCACCTAGTTATGGGATGTCACCCTCTCGGGGAAGTCCATTTCATCACTGGACACTCTAACTGTTGGAAGTTCCTCAGTTTGAGCAGAATTGTTTTTATTTGTAGCTTCTACTTTTGGATATCAGCTTGATTTTTCCTTCTGGAATCGTGGTGTTGTGGTGTTCATTGCCCAGAGGCAGGGGAGACTTACCTCTCACCTCAAATTTTGTTCAACTGTTGATATTAACAATGACACACACACACACACACACACACACACACACACACACACACACACACACACACACACACGGTACTGAAACTTTATCACTCCACGCCGCCAATTTGGGTGAAGAGCAGGGTGGCCCCCAACCAGATCCAAAAACGGTGTAAGAGAGAGCAGGACGAGAATATACTGGTCTGAGGTTTTTATGGTGGATATGGGATGGGGCAGGAATGAGGATTCCTGAGTGCAGACCGGGGTCTGTGTGGCTTAGAATTCCTGCTTGTGCCACAGGAAGGAGCACTTGGATTTGTGTAGATATGGGTAGAAGGGGAAAAGTTAATGATGAAACTTCAAAACTTCCAGAGGTCAGACATCAAAAAATGGAGTTACACTCTTTGTTACATATAGGATGCCTCTTTCCAAAACTATAGCATATTTAAAAAATTATCTGAATATAATAATTCTAATTTTTCTCATTACTCTTTACTTCTACTGTGTTTTGTGAAACACAATTTTAAGTTTTCTTAGTTCTTTACTTTTCTAATTATGTTGCTCAGTTTTCTGTGGCCATCACGAGAAAGTATCCACATTGAGAGCAAAACTCCATACATTATAACAAATATAAGCTAGGGGTACCCAAAAAATCTGGACACATTTTAAGAGATGTTATCTATTTATTACTTTTAGTTCACTGTAATCAGAAGTGTCTAGATGCTGATGGTAAGCACTTTGAATATCTCTTATAATTTCACAAGTCAAATGTGACTTGTATTAATTAAATTATTTATCTATATATCTTGAGTATTATAATTTTAATACAGTTTTTTTCCTTTCTGAAAATGTGTATACTTTTTTTGGCTCTCTTGCTCACTCTTTCTCTCTAGATGTATATATAGAGAGATGAAGTCTTGCTATGTTGCTCTGGCTAGACCTGAACTCCTGGGCTCAAGTGATCCTCCCACCTCAGCCTCCTGGGACTACAAGTGTGCATCGTTGTGACTGGCATTCAAGATATTTTCAAACTACGTTCTTAATTGTAATCCTTCTTGTAAATTAAGAAAAATTTAAAATGATGCAAATAGTCTTCTTGGGGCAAAGTTAACAAATAAACTGGACTGGATTAGTTTTTTGGGGGGAAACACAATACATTTTATTTCAGGCAAGTGAAGTTTATAGAAACGATGGTAGACTCAGGTAATTACTACTCTTAGAAATATTAAAATCAACCCTTTCTAATTATTTTAAACGGTCAGTTTAAGATTTTTGTATATGACAATTGTGTACTAACTTTTCACTTCTATTGATTTTAGCATCTCCTTGTGATCCTGCTTTCCTTCTGGGCTGTGTTCCCTGCAACGTGATCAGCTCTATCATTTTCCAGGATCGTTTTGACTATGGTGATCGGAAATTTCATGCCTTAATCCGGTATTTTCATGAAAACTTTGACATTGTAAGCACCCCCTGGATGCAGGTAAGGTTCTTTTTGAATGGGTTGCAGTGTTCTAGATTATATGTTGGTGCCTATCAAGGGTATTACTTTATTAAGTTATTGTCTAAGCTGGGTAACTGAGCTCTAGGACCAGATGACAGGTAAATTGGCACATTCCTGAGGGTAGAAAAGTCTTAAATAATTTTTTTGAAAAGCTAAGTGATTTGGGCACTTCCTTAATCTTTTGGATATAGTGCTTCTTTATTATAGCAAAAGATTATGAAACTTCATAAATTTTTAGAGGCATTCCCAGAGAAATATGTGTAGGGAAATCTGTTATGAGCAGTGGGTTCTAGTTCTGATATCACTAGTTGGATATCTTAGATTGTAGAGAGTTACAGTTAGAAAGTGAATGTGAGTGACTTTGAAGTTGCTTTGTGACCTGTGCATACTGTAACTCCGGCTACTTTTATCAGTGGTCTCTCCTTCTAATAAAAGTGTGTTTTGGTGCAGGAAACATCTCTTATTTATCTGTATCTACTTAGCACATAACAAAGTATCTGACATGTATCTGGCCTGTAAATGTTTGCAGAGGAAATTAATGAAGGATTCTTTCTTCTTTCAGCTCTGCAATACTTTCCCCTTTTTACATTATTTCCCAGGAAGTCACAATAAGTTATTAAAAAATGTTGCTGCCCAAAAGCAGTTTATCTTGGAGAAAGTAAAAGAACATCAAGAATCTCTGGATATCAATGACCCTCGGGATTTTATCGACTACTTTCTGATTAAAATGGAAAAGGTATAGTGTGATCTTGATTTGCCATTTCATACTGGTGGGTGATGTGACTTATAGTTTTAATTTGACTTTCCTGGGGAAATTGGGATATTAAATGCTACTTCCTAAAGATGTGTTCGTTGCTTATGAAAACTATTGCTTGTGCAAAACATGTAATATTTTGTATTCTCACTGAAAAAAGACCTAGAAGGCTTTCTCTATATCATGTTTTATAAATCTGGTTCTCTATTTGGGGTTAGATCAGATCACAAATACAAAGAACATATCACGGTATATAAAATAAGTTCCATGAATGGATGATGTAACAAGTGAGGGAACAAAGGGTAGACAGGAATCCAGAAAGGCTTATATTTGGAAAAATTCTGGCGAATCTTCACAGATAAGGCAGGTTTTAAGGAAACTCTGGCTTAGATTAACAGGGAGGGTCAAATATGTCCTCAGAATAAATGTGTGGAATTTTCAAAGAGGTTATCCTGATTGTAATTGGGAAACAGTGGTGTAATAATGACTGATGGTGTTTGAAATAGCGATGTAATTTGGGGTGGGTAGGTCTGGAGGCTTGAATGAGAAATTTGACATGATAAAAGAGACAGTAGAGGTTAGGGTTGACAGTGATTAGCAGGCATAACAATAAAAATTGTTTGAAAGAAATAACAGATGTGGTGGTTCATGCCTATAATCGCAGCACTTTGGGAGGCTGAGGGGAGAGGATTGCCTGAACCCAGGAGTTTGAGACCCACCTGGGTAACTTGGTGAGACCTCATCTCTACAATAAATCAAAAATTAGCTGGGTGTGGTGGCACGCGCCTGTGGTTCCAGCTACTTGGAAGGCTGAAGTGGAAGGATCACTTGAGTCCAGCAGGTTGAGGCTGCAGTGGCTGTGAGTATGCCACTGCACTCCAGCTTGGGTGACAGAGTGAGACTTTTACTCAAAAACAAAAACAAAGGGACTGAATGGCACTAGTGGGTAAGAAAGTGAGAAATCAGAAAGCCCTATAAGTGTGCAGCTCTGATTATAATTGAACAGTTTTAAGGATTCCTAACAATTCATGTAACTTTAACTTCAGCTAGAGGATACTCTAATGTCTGGCTTAATTTTCTAGGTACTAATGTTATATTGAATATTTTCGGTTCTCTGAAAAGTTTTTTATTTATCAAGTCATTTAACCTATCATTTCTAGGAAAAACACAATAAACAGTCAGCATTTACCATGGACAACTTGGTCATTACCGCATGGGATATCTTTAGTGCAGGAACAGAGACAACAAGCACCACCCTGAGATATGGACTCTTGCTCCTGCTAAAGCACCCTGAGATCACAGGTATGATCATAAATGATGGTCAGGTGAAATTCCAGGTAAAATTGGAAGACTGATAACTACCTCACCTGCCTATATAATGAACATGAACAATTCTTATCATTAGTACATCTACCTATCATTGGATGACTTCAATTCAAAGTAGAACATAGTATAAAAGTATAATAAAATGTGAAAGAACAAGAGTTTTTTGTTTTTTTTTTTTGAGTTGGAGTCTCACTCTGTCGCTCAGGCTGGAGTGCAGTAGCATGTTCACAGTCGCTGCAGACTTGACTTGCTGGACTCTGGCGATCCTTCTGCCTCAGCCTTCCAAGTACCCAGAACTACAGGCGCGTACTACCACGTCCAGCTAATTTTTGATTCATTATAGAGATGAGGTCTCGCCAAGTTGGCCGGGTGGGTCTCAAACCTTCGGGAGCAACAAGATTTGAAGGGCAGAAGTCATTATTCTCTCTGTTATGGTCTAGTGTCCTTGACTTGGGTTGGACCAGGTGCAGTAACAGAGTCATCTTAGAATCTGGAGAGAACTAACCTCTCTCATTCTCTCAAAAGGACACACTTGATATTCCTTTCACGTCCAGATAAATATATTTTTGTCAAAAGATTTTTCTACCCAAACACATTAGTAATGTAATGATTCGCTCAACAAATTTACTCTTTCTTCATCAAAAAGGCTCACTCTCCAATTAAAGAGCATCATCCTGAAAAACATAATTTAATAATTTACCCTCTTGGATAAACATATTTTTCTTACAAATATAACATCTCTTGCAGATACAACTTTTTTCTTTTTTAATCTCTTTTTCACTGAGAGGACATTTCCTTTATTACTATAACATGATTTGTGAATTGGTGCACTGAGACATTTTCTTTTCCTGATTTCGATAGCCTTAGGTGGTACATATAGTTTTGGGTTACGTGGCTGCATTGTATAGTGGCAAAGTCTAGGTATTAAATGTACCCACCACTCCCACCTGTGCACACTGTACCTGATAGGTGATTTTTCATCTCTCCACCCCCTTCCCATCATCCCCTTCTGAGTCTCCGATGTCCATTCGAGACATTTTTAGTATGATTAAACATCATGAAGTTTATCTCCATGACATCAGCACAAAGTTTTTTCAATTTGTTTAAGATCTTTCTGCTCTTCCAATGTAAATGAGATGATTTTTGAATTGTGCAACTTAGAAGCATTGCCTCAAAAATCCTTTGCTAATACGCATTGCGAGATATCATGTGTTTCTTTCACATGACACAGATTCTTGTGGCCAAACAACTCCCCTAATTCCTATCAAATTTGATCTCTATGTGATTATGACTTGAAATAGTATATAACATGTTTCTCCAAATCTTTAACTCCAGTGCATCTCGCAAACCCCTTCGCATGTCATATTTTCCTCTCACTTCCATTTCTATTTTTCATTTGGCATTTTCTAATTCCTGTCCACATATATTCCCTTTTCTTCTTTCTGTCTTCATCCTTTACTACTATTCTACTAAGCATTCTGATTTTATAAGTAGTTTATGACCACTTTGTATCACCACTTTCTTTTAGATGAAACTCTAGCCTTTTAATCTGATAAGGTGAACTATAAAATGTGTGTGACATTCCTAACTTTTTCTTCTTTTTGATATTAATCCCCAGAATTTTCACATGCTGCATTACAAAGACACATTCTTCAAGTATTTGATAAATATCATTTGACCAAAGTAGCAGTTTGGCATTGCTACTTTAGAAAATGCATTACCAGGGAAGGGAGGGGCACACCTCATCAACAGGAGTACCTGCGTAATGGACATTTGTATATCTAACCCTGAATTGTACCCCACATCTTTAAAATAAAGAAAAACAACAGCAATGACAACAAAAGAAAATACATTAAAGGCTTTATCAGCAGTGGCTTCAGATTTAAACTCTACTTAATAGGTAGCTGTATGACCTCAGTCTCATAACTACTTCTCCATATCTCTTGTCCCTTATCTGTTTAGGTGAAATAATATGGGAAGGACTGCATTTCCTGAGTGTTCTAAGGAAATATATTTACTTCTCTGGATCTGTTTCTTTGTAAAATACTCAAAATAATACCCAACACAGAGCACTAATAGGAATGATAAACTATTGTAATGAGTAGTACAGCATGTCTGTCGTATATTACCTTCTAAATAAATGTTAGCATACTTCTTATTTTTCTGTGTTGAATCAACTAAAAATATTATTGCATTGTTTTATATACTCAGAATTTACTGCAGTGGGTAGTTCTTACCCTCTTGATACAAATTTACAACAAAAACTGCTATACACAAAGTGGTTAAATTACAAGGTCTTTCATGAGTCTTCAAGATCCCGGATTCTTGAGTCTATCAAGAAAAAAATACATCAAACAGAGAATGTAGTTGAGAAATGAATTTTGTGGTTCAATTGTATTTTATATTTAGGTCTCAAATGAGCCTCTATTTGCCCAGAAAATGGAATCCCTGCTTCTTTTTTCCCTTATGGAGGTAGTGACACATAATGACTTCCTCTTCCCATCTTCATCTACAAGGGGACATGATTATGGGATCAAACAAAGGGTACTTCACGTTCTTTTCATTTCACAAAATTCTTAAAAAAATTTTATGATAATTATTTTATTTTATTTTAAAAATGTGGGACACAAATGAAGGTTAGGTACATACGAGGTGATCATACAGGTAAAGTGTGGGTACCCTTATTGATGTCATGTGCCCCCCTTCCCTTCCCTGGTAGTGTTCCACTACTGCCAATCCCCTTCTTATAATATGGTAAATGTTCAGGCTTCACTTGTAAGTGAGTACTTGTTATACTCAGATCTTTGTTTCTCATTTCACACAAATTCTGAGTCCTGTCTTGCCAGCTAAAGTCCGGGAAGAGATTGACCGTATGATTGGCAGAGACCGGAGCCTCTGCATGCAAGACAGGAGTCGCATGCCCTACACAGATGCTGTGGTGCACGAGATCCAGAGATACATTGACCTTGTCCCCACCAACCTGCCCCATGCAGTGATCCAGGACACTCAGTTTAGAGAATATCTTATTCCAAAGGTGAGAGCCGTTTTGTCAATATTTATGTATTTATTTACTTATCTATTTATTTACTTATTTATTTACTTATCTATTATGGTAGTAAAACTACAGATTATGTAACTGTCTACAAGTATGGCACAGTCATAGCTCAGGCATCTCACCCTATGACCACATACTTCTTTCCACCTAGTTTGTTGACACAATTTTCTAAATATGATAGTGTTTCAAGTCTCACAGGATGTTCAGTACATTCATAGCTCCACACCTCTGATTGTCCATTAGCCCAATCAGCTCTGTAATTTCCTGCTTTCCAGTGTCTGTTTTATTACTCTTACCAATTATCTAGTATTTTGTATCCCCACCTCCTTCCCTATTATCTGTCTCATGTACGTGTATAAGTGCAATTAAAAAGCCTTTTCCTCCCTGCCTGCCTTTGGACTATGGATCCCTGCTGATTGATATTATTATCATCAACCCAATATGTGTTTGTATAATTTTCATCAATGCCAAATATATTTTCAATCGTTCCCAACAATCATGCTTTATAACCTAATTTACGTAACTTCTGCATGCTAAGTGATGAATTTAAACCTTCAACTCTCCTCAAACTTCCCGCTTTCCATTGTCTTCTTTTTACCGGGTGACCTGTCCCTGGTAAAAATAGAGTCATTTGAAAGGAGTTTCCTTAATTTCTTTCCAGTAGATTGATACACTTAGCTACATCCATATCCTTTGAATTCTCTTTCATGCCTACTGTTGTGATAGAAAGGCTCTCCTTTTATCTTACATAAGCCATTCTACCAGTGCATGGATTCCTTTTCTCTCACTTTTTAATGAACCCTCTTCCAATAATAATTTCTTCTTTCTTCTTAATATTCATCCTCTTTCTCCCTCCTAGCTCCTTTTCTTTCTTTCTTTTTTTATTATAAAGATGTGGGGTACAATTCAGGGTTAGGTATACAAACATTGATCATGAGGTACCCTTGTTGATGAGGTATGTCCCTCCTTCCCCTAGCAGTTTCCCTCAACTGCCAATCCCACCCCCCTCCCCTGGCAGTTTCCCACTACTGCCAATCCCTTTCTTATGGTATTAGGATATTTGTTCAGGGTCCGCATATGAGTGAGAACATACGGTACTCTGTTCTTTGTTTCTGTGATAGATCACTGAGTATGATTGACTCCAAATCCATCCAAGTTGCCACAAAGTCCATATATTTGTCCTTCTTTTTGACTGTATAATATTCCATTGTGTATATATACCACATTTTCTTTATCCAGTCCAGCTTTGATAGGCAACATGGTTGGTTCCATGTTTTTGCTATTGTGAACAGAGCTGCAACAAACATACGTGTGCAGATATCTTTTTTGTAAAATGATTTGAGTTCCTCCTGGCTCCTTTTCATCAGCATTTCAACATGTTCTATCCCCTTTTTGAAATTTATGATTGACACAGAAAAATGTCCATTTTTATGGAGCATAATATGATGTTTTGATACTTGTATAAGATGTATAATTATTAAATCAGAGTCATTAGCATATCCATCATCTTAATTATTTAGCATTTCTTTGTGATGTGAGCATTCAAAAACCTCTTTTATAGGTAGTTTGAAATATATACTGCATTATTGTCAACTCTCATCAACCTACTATGCATTAAGACACCAAAAAATATTTCTTTTATCTAACTGTAGTTTTGTGCCTGTTGATCAGTCTCTCACTATCTCCTCCACCATCTTCCCCATTCTCTGGTAACCATTATTCTAACTTATATCCATGATGACACTTTTTAGATTTCACATATGAGTGAGATCATGGGGTATTTGCCTTTTTGTGCCTGACTTCTTTCACCTACCATGATGTCTTTCATGTTCATCCATGTTGCTTGAAATGACCAGAGTTCCTTTCTCTTTGTGAATGAATAGTATTCTTTTGTGTATATATACCAAATCTTTTTTCATTCATCTGCTGATGAACATTTGGGTTGTTTGCTTATCTTGGCTGTTCTGAATAGTGCTGCAATAAACATAGGAGTGTAGATATCTCATTGACATACTGATTTCATTTCTTTGATTATATACTCAGTGGTGGAATTGTTGGATCCTATGGTAGCAATATTTTTGAATTTTTTTTTTTTTGAAAGCAGGATTTATTGAGAGGACAGAAAAGCACTCAGAGTGGGAGGGGAACAGAGGGGGTTGTCTTTGATTTTTAAAGAACCTTCATGCTATTGTCCATAATGCCTGTACTGACTTATATTCCCACCAACAGTGTTTAAGAATTCTATTTCTCCACATATTGTCCAACACTTGTTATCCTTTGATTTTTTTTGATAGTAATCATTCTGGTTGTAGTGAGGTGATAGCTCATTGTGATTTTATTTGTATTTCCTTGATGATTAGTGATGTTGAGCATATTTTCATATATGTGTTGGTCATTTTTATGTCTTCTTTTGAGAAATGTCATTCAGCTCTTTTGCTCATTTTTCAATTTTTGTTGTTGAGTTATTTGATCCATATATTTTGAATATTAACCTCTTGTCTAATGTGTAGTTCTGGAGTTCATCTTTTTGATCATTTCCTTTGCTGTAAGATGCTTTTTAGTTTGATGTAATCTCATTTGTTGTATTTACTTATGGTGCCTATGCTCTTGAGATTTTATTTCAAAAATTCTTACCTAGATCAGTGTCATAAGGCTTTTTTCCCTATATTTTCTTTTAGTAGTTCTACAATTTCAAGAACTACATTTTAGCTTTTTCTCTATTTTAGGTTAATTTTGTATATGGTGGGAGATAAGTGTCTAATGTCATTCTTCTGCATGTGGATATCTAATATTTTCAGCAAAAGTTATTAAGGAAACTTTATTTTCCTCATTGTGTATCATTAGCACTTTCTAGTTATTTTAGATTTCTCTTGTTCCTTTTTTTTCTCTGATTTCTTGAGTTGCAATGTTAGGTTGTTCATTTGAGATGTTTATTCTTTTTGATATAGGTCTAATTGTTATAATTTTTCCTCTTAGTACTGCTTTTGCTGTATTCCACAGATTTTAGTATATTTTTATTATCAATTATCCCAAGAAATTTTAAAATTTTCATCTTACTTTCATGGACTCATTGGTTGTTTAGGAGCATGTTGTTATATTTCATATATTTATATAGTTTCCTAAGTTCTTTTTCTTCTTGATTTCTAGTTTTATTGCATTGTGATCAGAGAAAACACTTGATTTGAAATCACTTTTTAAATAGTTGTTAACACATACTATACCATATGATCTATCCTGGCAAATGTTCAGTGTACTGTTAAATAGAGTAGATATTCTGTAGATGTTAAGTGGAACATTTTGTGGATGTTTGCTAAGATCATTTGGTCAAGGGTACAGTTTAACTTCACTGTTTGTTGTTGTTGTTGTTTTTTGGTCTGGATAATCTGTTTTTTGATGAAAGTGGAGTGCTAAATTCTTCTACTATTATTGTATTGAAGTCTATCTTTCTCTTTAGGTCTATTAATATTTGCTTTCTGTATTTAGATGCATATATATTTACAATTGTCATTTTCTCTTAATGAATTGAGACTTTTTCATTATATAATCATCTTCTTTATCTCTTTTTACAGGTTTTTATTTAAATTATATTTTATTTGATATAAGTATAATCACTCCTTTGTGTCCATGGGGCGATGGCTGTAGGACTCCTCATGGATGTCAAAATCTGCACACACTCAGTAATTCCATGATCAGCTCTGTTGAACCTATGTATACAAAATATCACCCCCCCATATCTGTAGATTTCACATCTCACTGTATTTTGATCCATATTTGGTAGCAGATGTAGAATCTGTGGACAGAGGGCTGACAGTATTTATCAAAAACATTCGAGCTGTGCTTGCACGGTTCAAACTCTTGTTGTTCTAGAGTCAACTGCACAGAGATACTCATGGTTTTTATTTTTTTATTTTTATTTTTATTTTTTTTTCATTAATCAGTATTTTTTATTATGGTTTTGTGGGGTACAGTTAAGGGTTAGGTGTACAATGACGTTTCATTCAGGCACCCTGTAGATAAGAAGTATTTTCCCATCCCCCGACAGATATTTGCTA